TTTTTTTTTTTTTTTTTTTTTTTGAGACAGCGTCTCACTCTGTCACTCAGGCTGGAGTGCAGTGGCGCGATCTCAGCTCACTGCAACCTCCGCCTCCCAGATTCAAGCAATTCTCCTACCTCAGCCTCCCAGGTAGTTGGGATTACAGGCATGAGCCACCACACCCAGCTAATTTTTGTCTTTTTAATAGAGGCAGGGTTTCACCATGTTGGCCAGACCAGTCTCGAACTCCTGATCTCAGGTGATCCATCCACCTCGGCGTCCCAAAGTTCTGGGATTGCAGGCATGAGCCACCGTGCCCGGCCACTTTTCTTACTTTGTAAACAAGACTCCCACCTTGGCAGTGTGAGCTTTCAGCCTGGGCTCCCCACCTGGGGCAGAGGGGGCTGCCCTCCGTAGAGGGGGGCCTGTGCCTTCCTCCACACATGGAGGTAACAAGACTCAGAATTAGCGGTCGTGGTCAAAAGAAGTCCTCCACACGGGCAATGGCCCAGAGATGTTGCCATGGTAAATGGGGCATCCAGAGAACAACGGGTGCTCCAGGAATCGCCAGCATTGAGACGGATGCTAGTGCCCGTGCTGGCAGGGCACACACGACACACCCAACTTCATTTGGCCCCACCAGCACAAGGGAGCTAAGGCCCTCCGGACTCCCAAATATACTTTATGTGCTCAAGGTTCCAAGGCCACCACGAGGATTCTCAGGGCTGTTGCTTATTTGTGAACTTAGGAGACAGGGGAAGGAACAGACAAAACTTGGTGCTTGGCAGCCGTCTTCTGATACATGAAATTACATTGCCCATCTCCAAGAGAGCAGCGGTGAAAGGCAGAGGCCCTTGCACCTAGGAATGTATTGTCCGTTGGGGAGACAAGGGTAAAGAGGCTTTAATGCCAAGTGGCAGGTGAAGTCTTGAGCAGTGCGGACCTGGGTCCTCATGGGGTCAGCACATCCCCTGGTAATTCTCTCCACCTGCTCCTGCCAGACTGATCCAGCCACCCGTGTGTCCCACAGGCTGATTGGCGACTGCCTGTATAGTCGCCAGCTGGTAATTATATTGAGATCACCTTCACCTAGGAAGGCATACCATCCCCATTTTCCATGAGGGGAGACTGAAGTTCAGGAAATCCAGGTAACCTCACACAGTCAGGGGGCAGGACCCAGATCCACAATCAGGCTCATCCGATTCCTAAGCCCAGGAGGCACGGGAGATAAGACTGGCATAAAGAACGTGGTCTCAGAGAAGGCAGGTTTTAGTGGGCACACAGGCGATGAATATTCCAAGCAAGAAGATAAAGCAAGGAAATGGTTTAAAGAATTAAATTCCTCATGACAAACGTTTTGCCATTTGTTTGAGTCAAGTTGGGTAATCTCTGTTCTAGACTTATTTCTGCTACTGAAATTCCCTGGATCGCTTAACTTCTCTGAAATTTAATTCCCTCCCTTGCAAAATGGGACACGCTTACGCCACAGAGACGTTGCCACGAAGGCATTTTCAGGGGGTTAAGACACCGCCTAAGTACAGGATGTCATTGTTGGAGAGATTAAGGGTGACTAATGAGTTATGAGCAATTTGTGTGGGAGCTGACCCGGAGCTGCTCAGAAAGAGGGTGCATGGAAAAGCCTCTGGGGACGCTGCTCCCCTCCCTGGTGTATTGCAAGCTCATTCCTCAAAGAGGTTTCTTCTGGCTGCGGAAGGATGCACAGACCCCAGGCACGGATCCCTGCTGGATCGCGCCCTCGCGTGGCCGCTTCCTTGCATGACAGCTCGGCCTGCAGGTGTCGGGTTAGTGGAGGATGATTCCAGAGCTGGAGGCCCGCGCGCTGGGGGCAAAGGTTGTGACAGGGGCATGGACTGGCTAGGCAGCGTGCTCCCCAAGGCCGTGTCCACCTCAGCACCCACCCTGTGGCTCCCTGTCCCCTCCTTCCACCGACCCCGGGACCTCACTGCCCCCAAACTCTTGATGCATGCGGCCCAGTGGGCCTCTGAGAGGGGAAAGAATTTTATTATTTCTCTTTCTCCCTCTGTGTTCACAGAATATAACTATTGCTTCTGTAAAATTATCCAAATAATGAAAAGAATACAAAATAGAGTGTTCAGGAAAAATTTACCCAATAGGCTACCACCCAAAAATAATTTCTTAAAAAATAATATTTTGGGAGTATCATTCCAGAGGTTCACCAAACCTATATGCAAAAGAATAGATTTAGGGAAATAATTTTTAATATATAAAATGGCATTTTTGTGCACAGCGTTTTGAAAAGCAAAAGCATACAATTCGGTTTCATTGAACTTATAAGAAAAGAAAGCTGGGTGCAGTGGGATGTGCCTGTAATCCCAGATACTCCAGAGGCTGAGATGGGAGGAACCTGAGCCCAGGAGTTTCAGAACTGCCTGGGCAACATAGTGAGACTCTCAAAAACAAATATTTTTTAAAAAGAAAACAAAATTTAAAAGACTGGCAAATTTCAAATGAATTCTTTTGTTTTAAGCTGATATCGTTATTTCCTCCTCTTCTTCTTCTTCTTCTTCTTCTTCTTCTCCTTCTTCTTCTTCTTCTTCTTCTCCTCCTCCTCTTCCTCCTCCTCTTCCTCCTCCTCCTTCTTCTTCTTTTTTTCTTTGAGACAAGGTCTCACTCTGTCACTCTGTCACCCAGGCTGGATGGAGTGCAGTGACACAATCTCACCTCACTGCAACCTCTGCCTCCCCAGCTCAAGTAATTTTTGTGCCTCAGCCTCCCCAGTAGCTGGAATTACAGGCGTGCACCACCATGCCAGTTATTTTTTTGTATTTTTAGTAGAGACAGGCTTTCACAATGTTGGCTAGCCTGGTGATCCACCCATCTCAGCATCCCAAAGTGCTGGGATTACAGGCATGAGCCACCGCACACAGCCTGATATTATTGTATTTATTCTTACAAAGTATTTCAAACATATGAAAAGTAGAGTGAATAATGAAACGGCCTTACAACTACTTTCAACAAATCTGAACATGCCCTTGGGTTGAGAAGCTTTTCTTCTTTTTTTTAATAAAAATGTTCATGGAAAAGACACTAATTAATGGAGGTATACTTGTAGGCAGGATTTCCCAACCGGCCGGATTCTGTTCCATGATGCTAGAACCTGGACACTCAACGTCTATCCCCACAGTCCAGCTACGGCCAGCACCACCCGAGCACAGGGCTCTGAAGCACTTTCCATTCATTGTCTCTTGTGCTTGTGGGTACTTAGAAGGTGCACAGTATTATCATTCCTGCTGTGGAGAAATGAAGGCCTGGAGAGCAAAAGCTGTTTGCTCAGCTTGGGATGTAAGTTCAGGTCTGTTGGGCATCAGAGCCTGGGCACTGGAGATCATTTCTGAAATGACGCAGGGGCTACATGTAAGGTCCCAGGTACTTATGCTGACGAAAAACAAAAAATCTGGATGGAGGAAGATTTCAAGAGTCAGTGACCTCAAAGCCCCATTATCTCCAGCAAAATGAGAGGAAATTCTGTCCTATCTTCCTGACTTTCTTGAGAGAAGTTGGTTTGGGAAACTTCCTCTGCCATCGGAAGTGGGATTGAGAGAAACATCTTTCAGAAGATGATGGAAGCTCAGCCTGGCTGGGCCACCTGCGGGTGTCTCTAGAATCATACCATTACCATTCACTCAAGACCCACTGGACCATGAATCCTGGATATTAACTACGAATGAGGGGTTTTTTAATTGAAAATTCAAAAAGAATCACAGGAATAATTTAGTTTTTTTGCAATAACTACTGAGATTAAGAAGCAACCGTACATATGTGCCTCTTGAGAGCTTGGTGCTCAAAGACAGGTGGCAGGAGCTAAGGGTCAAGCTGAGGGTGGTCTGGCTGCCAGTCCTAATGGCACAGGGGCAGTGAGATGGGCCAGTCTGACACCATGTACACTGGGACCCCCATACCTGCCACCTCCAGCCACAGCCTGCCTCCCACAGCTTTGCCCTGATCAACAGGGCCCCAAAGGACCTGTGTGAGAGTTCTATCAGTCAGGGTGCAGACTAGGCCCCTGGGTAAGTCCCACTGCCACTGGGGGTTACCTGGTCTCAGCTCCTGACCAGGACTCTGGTCCAACCCAACGCTGTCTTCCAGGCCCCTACCTGAACAGGCCAACTGCCTCCCTGCCTCAAACCTGCTCTCAGCCCTCCTCTGTTAGGAAACAGCGGCCAGGGCAAACAAGGTAATCGTTGTAGTCATACTGATGGTATGAAAACTTAGAAATTTGAACTTTAGGCTGGGCCTGGTGGCTCACGCCTGTAATCCCAGCACTTTGGGAGGCCAAGGTGGGTGGATCACTTGAGGTCAGGAGTTCCAGACCAGCCTGAGCAACATGGAGAAACCCTGTCTCTACTAAAAATAAAAAAAATTAGCTGGTCGTGGTGGCGCATGCCTGTAATCCCAGCCACTCGGGAGGCTGAGGCAAGAGAATCGCTTGAACCCGGGAGGCAAAGGTTGTGGTGAGCCGAGATCATGCCATTGAACTCCAGCCTGGGCAACAAGAGCAAAACTCCATCTCAAAAAAATAAAAAGAAAAAGAAATCTGAACTTTAAACTGCAACAAATATCCAGACGATACACAGAAACCATAGAGTCAGCACAAGCATTAATATTACAGCATTGTAGGGAGAAGTCAAGGAAACTTAGGCAAATGAAATAAACATCAGAAACTCAGGCAAATAAGACAAAACAAAAACTAGTTCAAAACAAAGATAAATGAAGGAAAAATAACAGTAAACAGACAGCAAAGTGTTAAGGGTCTTTAATATGCAGGAATGCCTCAATGTTAACAAATGGATAAAGAACAGGTAATTCTTCAAAAGACACGCAAACCTCTGCCAAAGCCTCTGGACAAGTTGTAAAAGCTCCGTCCTCAACAAGAACAAAATCTGGGCCAGCCTTCAGGCTGACTTTCCTGGGAGAAAGTATAACCTGGGTTTGTTTTTGTTTGTTTGTTTTACCTATCCTCACTCTTCAAAACTTACCTTAGAAGGCTCCTCGCTCTGGAAGCTGCTCCCCATCCCTCCAGGGTAAGCAGGCGCTCCTCCTAGGTGCCTCCACCGGACTTTGGCCCCTCCTCTCAGTACTCACTGTGGATTTCTCCCCACCGGGTCCAGAAGCTCAGCCAGGGCAGGATCCCCAGCACCAGAACATGTGTGTCATGCAGAAGACACTCAACAGATGCTTTTTAAAACATTGCATGTGTGCATGCATGAAGATGAATACAGTAAATGCATAATTTGTAACCATGAACCAACATTTTACTTGACTCGCCATGACACCTAGTGGTGACTAACCTCCATTGCAGACAAGACAAAATCAGCCATCACTGCGGTGGGTGCTTGTGTTTTCCTTTGTTCCTGCAAATGCCTTCTGAGCACCAACTATGTGCCATGTGCGGGGACCCTGTGCATGCAGAGGACCGTTGGGTGAGTTGGTCAGTCCCTGTCCTCCAGGGGTGTATGGGCAAGATACACCCACTGCCGCTCACCACCACATAGTGTCCGCATTCAAGTTAATCTCACACCATGGTAGGGAGAAGTAAAGGAAACTTAGGCCAACTGTCAAATCATTTGGAGAAATGAGAAAGGCAACCTCTGAGGGAGGTGGAAACTCTTCCTGTTGCATGGAACTACCTCCTAACAACAGCCTGTTTGTCATCCCCTTTAACGCTAACTCAGGTTCCAAGAACCGGAATATTGTCTCAATTTCACTCCTGGCTTCAGCAAAGATAGACAAAAGTCAACACCTAAAGCCACGATAGCTTCCCTGATTCCTCCACCTCTGCAGAGAAAGGAGGCTGGGGAGGGAGACACATCTAGTCCTGCCTTCAGCTTCTATTTTTTCCAGTCTCCTCTTCCCCTACCTCTCCAACCAAGTGGTAAAAAGTAAATCCTGATTGGACGGCCATTTGGGAAGCAAAATAGATTTCCTGGATTTCTTATACTAAAATTATAACAGAGCAAATGAAAACAGTACAAAGCCAGAATAAAACATAGGTGACTTTTTTTTTTCTCCTGGGCTTAGGTAAATTCTAGTTACTACCAGAAGCTAGAATGGAAAATATGGAAACATTTAACTTTGTAACCCTTCTATATGGCAAAAAAATAAAAAATAAAAATAAATAAACTAGTTCAAAACCAAGAAAAACGGAGGGAAAACAACAGTAGACACACAACAAAGTGCTACTATTTTTAAGATGCAATGAACAGCCGGGCGCGGCCGCTCACGCCTGTAATCCCAGCACTTTGGGAGACAGAGGCGGGCAGATCACAAGGTCAGGAGATCGAGACCATCCTGGCTAACATGGTGAAACCCCAGTCTCTACTAAAAATACAAAAATTAGCTGGGCATGGTGGCGGGGGCCTGTGGTCCCAACTTTTCAGGAGGCTGAGGCAGGAGAATGGCGTGAACCTGGGAGGTGGAGCTTGCAGTGAGCCAAGATCGTGCCACTGCACTCCAGCCTGGGCGACAGAGCGAGGCTCCACCTCAAAAAAAAAATAGTAATAAAAAATACAAAAATTAGCCGGGCATGGTGGTGGGCACCTGTAATCTCAGCTACTCAGGAGGCTGAGGCAGGAGAATCGCTTGAACCTGGGAGGCAGAGGTTGGTATGAGCTGAGATTGCACCACTGCACTCCAGCCTGGGCAACAGAATGAGACTGTGTCCCAAAAAAAAAAGAAAAATATAGTAGATGTATATGCCTTTTACCCAGCAAGTCCGTTTCTAGAAATATATATTCTAGAAATACATTCTAAGAAAATAATTTGCCAAATGCATTCAGATACATGTTCATCAAAGCATGGCGTGTGTGTGTGTATATATGTATACATTTATACACACACACGTATTTATATATTATAGAAATAATTTGTCATTCATTAGAGTAAAAGAATAATTTTCAGATGTGAGCCAAAATTGATAGCCAAAATTGAACTATCAATTCTGATAGGCTGATCATACAGAATACCAGATAGTCATTAGACATAGTGATGTAACTCTACATTTATTATCATTAAAAAAAGGCTCAGAATATACTGCTGAGCTTTGACAACAGCAACAAAAAAGCACTATCTATAAATCTGCATAAAGATGGTAGTTTGAAAGGATATTCACCAAAACGTTAGCAGTGCTTTATCTGTGGGTGGCTGGATTTAGACTAACGTTTACTTTCTTCATACATTTAAACAAATTTTATATGGCAAGAATGTGTTGTTTTAAAATGAGAAAAACACGAACTGTTTTCATTAAAAGAAAAAAATTAACCCTGCCTTTCAGATATGTCCAACTCAGCTACTACATTTGACTATTGAGGCAAAAAATACAGAAACTGTATAACGTTCCTCATGAGAACAACAGGAAAGCTACATTCTGAGAATCAAGGTGAGCTACGTGGTTCTTATTTTCCTTTGGAAAGACACAGTTCTTTCAAGTACCCCTAATAAGGTTGATGGCTCCTAAGAACGATCTGTAACAATATACGGTATAAACACTCAAAACCTGAAAGGGGCCGTCCGTGGAGGCTTTGAGTTTTTCGTGTCACAGGCTCTGACCAAGCTTCCCTGCCTGGGGTAGACTCTTCCTAAGGCTCACTTCTACAGTAAATGTAATTACACTTTAATGCTATTCATCGCATTCTGTCACTTTTTCCATTGCTCCTATTTTTAACGCGCACAATGGGAACATTTGTCCTCTGATTCACTGAGCGGTTTTAGGCCAGGAGTCTGGCTTTTAAAATGACAGTACCCTTAATCCTATCGCTGACGTTTCAAATGAAATAACAGCCTGTAATTAAAACAATGGCGCACAGGCAGCCTCCGTGGGATAAGAATAGCAACTCTGCATGGAATTCAGGTAATGGGATTTATCAGCAGCTGTGCCAGGAGGCAGGGATGGAGAAGCAGGCTCTGGTCCTGGTAGTGTGGCCTTTGCAAGTCACTTCAAAGTCCTGAGCGGCAGTCCCTATGAAACAGGCATGAGTTCTTAGAGCCCTTTCAGTTAGGCCTACCCAGCAGAGTGAACAAAGTCAGCCTGAGACTTCTGCTGCTCTGGAAGAACCCCGGCGGCCTGCTCATTCCAGCAATGCACATGGGACATCCAAAGCTGCTGGGGCCATTGGGACCCCCGTCAGAGCAAATGTCATGGAGAAGTGGGCTCTATGTCCTCTCCCCCTGAGTCTCAGCCAACTTGTGCCAGCTTCAACTTCTAGAGTGTAGTGGGTGTGATGCTCTGTGATGTCCCAGGCTAGGTCACAAAAGGCCACATACCCTCTTGAGCTCTTCACTTGCTTACTCTTGGGACACTCCATCTTGGAATCTAGCTCCTGTGACCTGCAGAGCCAGAGACATGAGGAAGGGGGGTACAGGTGCACCAGCCAACAATCCCAGCCGAGCTAAGCCTTCCAGCCACCTCAGCCTGGCTCCAGACATAGCGGGGACGACTCAGCCTCAGCCACCTGACTATCTCCCAGCATTTTGTTTATTTGTTTATTTTGTTTTTTGTTTTTTGGGGTTTTTTTTTGTTTTGTTTTTTTGTTTTTGAGACAGGGTCTCCCTCTGTCACCCAGGCTGGAGTGCAGTGGCGTGATCTCAGCTCTCTGCAACCTCAATCTCCCAGATTCAAGAAATTCTCCTGCTTTAGCCTCCCAAGAAGCTGGGATTACAGGCGTGCACCACCATGCCCTGCAGATTTTTTTTTTTTCTTAGTAGAGATGGGGTTTCATCATATTGGCCACACCAGTCTCGAACTCCTGGCCTCAGATGATCCGCCCACTTTGGCCTCCCAAAGTGCTGGGATTACAGGTGTGAACCACCCTGCCCAGCTCTCTCCCAGTGTTTTGAGCCTCCCTTGTTGAGGCCCCAGACATTGTGGAGCAAAGGCAAGCCCCGGCCACATGGGTCATGGAATTTGGGAGCATGACCCAAAGGGTGGTTGCTCATGCCCCTAGGTTTGTGATGGGTTGCTGGGTAGCAAAAGCAGCTGGAACTCCAGATCTGACGTAAGAGTTTACGTAATAAGCACTTATTTAGCTTGCTGTGTACAAGACCCTGTCCTAAACAAAATGTAAATATTAATTTGTGTTATAATTAAAATTAATCTCTATAACAGGTCTGTGAGGTCCATACTATTACTGTCTATATGTTATAGGTAAAGACACTGAAACTCAGAAAAGTTAGGTAACTTGCCCAAAGTCACACAGCTACAAAGTTGGAAAGACAGCATTCAAACTGAGGCCACAGAATGCATGCCCCCTTTTTTTTTTTTTTTTTTGACAGAGTCTTGCTCTGTCCCCCAGGCTAGAGTGCAGTGGCACGATTTCAGCTGACTGCAGTCTCTGCCTCCTGGGTTTAAGCAATTCTCCGCCTCAGCCTCCTGAATAGCTGGGACTACAGGTGCCCGCCACCACACCCGGCTAATTGTTTTTTGGTATTTTTTAGTAGAGGCAGGGTTTCACCATGCTGGCCAGGCTGGTCTCGAACACCTGACCTCAGGGGATCTGCCCGCCCTCAGCCTCCCAGAATGCTGGGATTACAGGCGTGAGCCACCATGCCCAGCCCAATGCATGCTCTTAAACATCTTGGCAAGTACTTTGCTTCTGCTCAAATCTTTATGCATCGACTCCACCTACAGCCTCTGGTAACCACCCAGGATTCTTTGTTTCTTTCTGCCTTGCCTTGATAGGAAGTGATTGGGGGCTCCAGGGAAATCCATCTATTTTGCATATATTGAGAAAAAATCTAATAAAAAGGTACCATCTCCCTAGGAAAGGGCAAGTTCATTATGCATCTTTCAGATCAGCCTCCTGATGACTTCTGGTCCTGACCTGATTTCTCGGAGGCCCCAGGCAGGGGCTAATTTACATCTTTGCAGCCATGCATGCAACCAGAGATTGCTTCTTCAGCAGCACGCTCCCACTTAGCAGTCGTTTTCTTTGGGTACACTTTGAGTTCCCAAGTTTTTGTGAGCTTACTCAGCAGGCCTGCTGTCTCCAGGAGAGGACACTGCATGCTAGTGGCCTTCAAGAGCCTTGGGCAGCTCTTAGGGGCTGGATGTGTCTGCTTCTGTAAACATTCATACACAACCACTGGCACATCCTAATCAATCAAGTACAGTGCTTTGTGGCCTTCTAGCAGAAACTCTTTTTTCTAACTCTACTTCCGCCATTTAAAAGTTTTTCCTAGAGCCATGGGGTCAGATCCTGATTGGAGTGCCCTTAGATCATGTACAAATCACTTACAAAAGTCTCCTCCACTCTAGATACGTAAAAATCCTTCCCACCGGGCGTGGTGGCTCGTGCCTGTAATTCCAGCACTTTGGGAGGCTGAGGCGGGCAGATCACACGGTCAGGAGATAGAGACCATGCTGGCCAACATGGTGAAACCCCGTCTCTACTAAAAAACAAAAAATTAGCCAGGCATAGTGGCAGGCGCCTGTAGTCCCAGCTACTTGGGAGGCTGAGGCAGGGGAATCGCTTGAACCCGGGAGGCAGAGGTTGCAGTGAACCGAGATCGCACCACTGCACTCCAGCCTGGCCACAGAGGGAGACTTTGTCAAAATAAATAAAAATAAAAATAAAATAAAATTTAAAAAATCCTTCCCTTTGGTTGATCTTTATTTTCATTTTCATTTTTTTATTTTTTTGAGATGGGCTTTCACTCTGTTGCCCAGGCTGAAGTGCAATGGCAGGATCACAGCTCACTGCAGCCTCAACCTCCCCAGGCTCAGGTGATCCTCCCACCTCGGCCTCCTGAATAGCAGGGACTGTAGGCATGTACCACCATGCTGGCTAATTTTTGTATTTGTTTTTTGTAGAGACAGGGTTTCACCATGTTGCCCAGGTTGGTCTCAAACTCTTGAGCTTAAGCAATCTGTCTGCCTTGGTCTCACAAACTGCTAGGATTATAGGTATAAGCCATTGTGCCAGGCCCAGTTGGTCTTTTTTAAACAAATAAAAGTCTGAATAAAAATGATGTAGCTTCTTACCACCTACTGTTCTACCTGCAGAATAAAAGAAACAAACATTAATTTAAACGTAATTGCCAAGAGAGGGCCTTCAAACATCATTGATTCTTCCTTCCTTCCATCCCTCCCTTCCTTGCCCCTTTTTTTCCTTAAATTATGTGCCTACCAGTTTTAGGGTAGGAACTGTGAGAAGTCACAAATACAGGAGAACACTGGGAAAATTCTGGGAGGAAATTGCATCTATGTGATAGAAGCCACCGCTCTATAAATCAT